ATGGTTAAAAAATAAGAAAAATTGTAAATTTATGTGTAATATTATTTTATTGAAAAATGTGTGATTGAAATGAGATCAAGTCACTCTTCAAGAATGTATTTTGATAAAAAAAAATAAAAAAAATGGGGCCGAGTATGTTTTTAAATGCTCTTGATTCTTGGAACCTAGAACTGACTTGTTCCGGTTCTACACCCTAGAGAAAAGAACCTGGTCACTAGAATCATTTCTATTTTTTTATTTTTTATTTTATGAGAAGTTTTTAAAAATATTTCTTAATAACCCAATGAAGTAATTAACTTATTTTCAATTTTTTTTCTTACTAAACTCAACCTACTTTTTTTTTATTTCATCAAAATTCTACTCTCGACTCGGTCCAAATGCTTCAAAAGGAGCCAAATGATCGCATTAAAAAAATATTGATTTTTGAATTGGTTATGATTCATTGAAGAATTATCCTCCATGTACAGAACCATTCACTATCAGAATTCTTACAGATACTCACATGGTGTGTGGCCCCACATGAATTAAATATTATTTAAAAAAGTGGACCACACATGTTTGTGTCTTGCCTGGAAAAATTATGTGAAGTTTTTGCCCTGTAATTGTAGCAGGGTCCTTCATCGAAACAAACCCATGCCTACTTTTGAACATAGTGTAGTTAATTATTATAGAGTGATTGAGCGTTTTGTTTGAGAGAGATTTTTCGAAGAACGGCTCAAAATAATTTTAAGAAATTTGTCCAAATTAAACCCTAATTAGTCTAGTCTAATGGACTGTAGGTAGCCGACCCAGCCTACGACTGGAGACATGTCGTGGAAATGAATTAGCACAACATTACTTGCTCAGAAGCGGGACAAGGAGAGGACAATTATTTATTTTTTTCGCATTGGACTAATACATAGAAGAAGAAGAAAAAATCACATCTTTTTTTATATTAAAAAAAAAAAGTAAACGGGCTAAAACTCAGAGCTACCTCCTATCTTCGTCTATGAACCTATCACTTCTATCGTAGCTCGGAAAGAGCTGGGCCGAGCTTTCAATATCCGAGTTAGGGGTGTCGATTTTGCTTGCTGACTCAAGCAACCCGTGACTCGGCCCAAATAAAGTCGGAACCGCCTTGGTCCAGTTGAAAGCTCAGGTTGAACTTAGGTTTTTTGGCCAAGCTCCTTTTTTACTCGAGTCGAGCCCGAGCCTCAATTTTTGGCTTCTAAGCCGACTCAGCTCGGTTTGTTGACACCCCTTAAACCGAGATAGTAAATGGTGTTAATTACAATTAATATGAACGATAATTATACTAATATTTTTTGTTACGTTTATGAAAGAGAGCAGTAATAAAATATTCAATAAATGAACAATAAAATTATTTTATTAAACATGGTAGGTAATTTAGTGGTTAGAATCTTTTTTCAAAATATGGGATTGAACTCTGTC